GGGTAACTCTCACTGGAGGCTCTCGTATATGTATATAGATATATAGATATATAAGCATACGTCGAGACAAGTTTTTTCGAATGTTATCAATGCTTCATTTATCATTTAATAGTAAGTTGTTTGCGCTCAAGAAGTACTGATCTCATGTCGAGACATGTGAGTGTACAATTGCTTCAGATGAGGAGATACCAATGGAAGTATCACTGCAATAGAGATAAGTGCGACAATGGTGAGAAGCCATTCCAAAGCAACTAACCATGTTGGAAGAGTTCCAAGAATTCGGTAAGCTATAGGAAAAAGTGCATGTGGAGCAGCAGAAGATGTCAAGAGTGTAAGAATAATCAGTACACGTTTTAAGATAATCATATCACGACGCATATTTGTTCGTCGGTTAATTGTTATGATTGTTGGATTATGCTGGCGAACATAATATATAGTATATACATAGCTGCATACTATAATAATAAATGGAAAAAGAAAACCAAGTACACAAACAGTTAATGATCCACGCATACTGCTTGGTGCAACTTGACAATGATAATCATTATGCAAGTATTCCATATCACCGATAAGCAAACTTGGTAGCAATTCTAAAGCTGAAAAAATCCATTGACCAAATGAAACGATTATATAAGAACTAAAAGGTTGATATTTGGTTGGTATTGGATATATGATTCGGCATATTCTATAAATAGCTTGGAGCGAGAATGAATGAAAAAATGTATAACCACAAATGTACATAAAATAAGCTTTTATTCGACACCACCAATTATTAAATGAACTGTCTGGATGCGAATATCCATATATATAATAAATACACATATCCAGAAGAAAACAACTAATACAAAGTAAAATGATATAAATATTTGCAAGAAATAAATAATCCACACGTTTTCTTTTGATTACTGATTGGTGTAAAATCATGAACGTTAAAAGATAAATAGAAATACAGATCTGAATTGTCGAAAGTATCAAAGTAATTGAATATAAAATAATGTTCACATGTTTGATGGACATCGTTGATTGATGAAAATAACTTTCGAATGATAGAATATCAGATAACAAACCTATATAATTGATCGTTAAGATATTTTTGAAAAGACCCAAAATAGTTGTTTATATCTGAAATTGTGCAGATACATCATAAACAAACACTTTATCGACTACTTGAATCAATTTTCTTAAGATAAATTGAAGAAAATCAGTTATGTTAAAAAAAAGATATATAAACAGCTGCGTGAAAAACAAGTAACGCTCGTCGTTACGACTCGCTTGGCCCTCGACTGAATCCCATCCATTCATTATCTATCATTATCTTCTAGATTTCGTTGTGAAAACTATTGTTATACACACATACACATATGAAAAAAACCGTATACTATTGTGGGAGACGACCGCTTTCTAAAAAGATTCCGCTTTTCAATTTTCTCCTAGGGTTTTCCAAATTTAACCGTAAGAGGCAGCTCACAGTTAGTCGCGGTGTCAATATGAGCCACCACTCGCGATTGCTCGCTTTTGTGTATGACACCGGCATGGTTTTAAACAGTTCTTCACTTTCTTCTTAATCCTTTCATTCTGTGATTTTTTGACAAATTGTTAATGTTCCTAATCATTGCACACAGTAACATACATTTCATTCGCATATTTCTGCAAGACCTTCTTCCGTCTGAAACTACAAAGTCAGCCCTTTGTCTGTCATTATCGCTATTCTTGGTTCGTAACTCCTTATTCCAGTCAATTTATCGAGGATCAAAACTCATATTACCACACTGAGTTTTTCGCAGTTTTCAGACAGTTCCAACCGGTGAGATTCGATCAATGAGCAACTTTATATAAATTCCGCCGGCCCAAGGTGTCCTTCGGCGAACCTGCCAGATCAGCGGCTAGTCGTTCGTCGGTGCTCCTTTAGGGCGCCACTCATGGCTAGCCGATTCCATCTTTAAACCAACACTCCCAGTAAATCATCCTCTTATCTTCGCGTTTCAGTCGGGACACGTTTGGTTTACTGTGAAACATTCTTGTATTTATAACAAAAAAATTGTAGGTGAGAAGTTCCAAAAGCCATAGTTTCTTGTAATCTGCTCCTTACAGTTTTAATTGCCAGAGCTTTTGAAAATCGATGTTCTACAAGGCATAGCTACCTGTGAACAAAGGAGAAAGGAAACTTCTAGACCGCTACAAGTACCGACTTCTCCCAGTCTTGCAACAATTGATTGCAGCAGAGCCGTATAATAAAAAATCTGATTAACTCAGTTCCCAGCGGAAAAAACTGGTTGAACAAAGCGGAATCGCGAAAACATTTCACTCACACAAACCTCAGCTTGATAAAAATCTCATTGGACAAGAGCGAGAGAGTGAGAAGAATTCATTGCTGAAGCTCTTGAGCAAAATCTTATTGGACAAGACTCGGTCAGCGAAAATATGTGATTCACTGGACTTCCTGCCTGAAAAAATCTGATTCATCGAAAGCCCAATATCAAAAACCCCTGATTGGCTGCATCTTTGGTATGAAAAAGTCCTATTGGATGAAAGCCCAATATCGAAAACCCCTGATTGGCTGGATTTTTGGCATGGAAAAAACCTATTCGCTGAAAATCCAATATCGAAAACCCCTGATTGGCTGGGTTTTTGGCATGAAAAAATCCTATTGGCTGAAAGCCCGATATCGAAAACCCCTGATTGGCTGGATCTTTGATATGAAAAAATCCTATTGGATGAAAGCCCAATATCGAAAACCCCTGATTGGCTGAATTTTTGGGATGAAAAAAACCTATTCGCTGAAAATCCAATATCGAAAACCCCTGATTGGCTGGGTTTTTGGCATGAAAAAATCCTATTGGCTGAAAGCCCGATATCGAAAATCCCTGGTTGGCTGGATCTTTGATATGAAAAAATCCTATTGGATGAAAGCCCAATATCGAAAACCCCTGATTGGCTGAATTTTTGGGATGAAAAAGTCCTATTCGCTGAAAGTTTAATATCGAAAACCCCTGATTGACTGGATCTTTGGTATGAAAAAATCCTATTGGCTGAAAGCCCGATATGGAAAATCCTGATTGGCTGGATTTTCGGCATAAAGAGTCTGATTGTTGAAACGCCACATATCGAATATTTCCTCAAAGCAGATGTTTTTTTGACCCTGATGTTCTTTTGACCCCGATGCAGACACACAGACACACAATCTATTTTTTTTCATATGACCCTCCCTACAGTCGAGTGAATAAATATGAAAATGGTGAATGTATAGACGAAAAACTATCGTGATTTAGCCGAAGTAACTTCAACATAAACTAGGCATAAAAATGATCTACAACTCTGATAATATCGGTTTCTAATGGGCTCTTAAGAGTTTAATCCTGCATGAACGTAAAATAAGTCGTACGTCAATACCTTGCCTGTTTTTCATACAGACAGATCAAAGAACGAACCATTGCTAAATATTCATCACAAAAGAAAAAAATTAAGCTCGAAAGGTAAATTTCAGCAGAATAATGTATCAAATATTCAGATGTTGCATACAGTAACTGGATGTAAGAACAGTATGCTGATCATCGTCTTGTATACATTTCGAAATGTTGTTAGTCACCAAATTCACCTGATTTATATGCATTGGATTACAGTGTACGAGATGAAGTGGCAGTAGCCATGAATTAGGCTCACGCAACAACAAAGATAACATTGATAGACGAGACCAAATATTCAGTCAAAAAAAAGGAAAGAAATCAAAAACTATTTTCTGGAAGAATATCTCAAAAGTAGGACTTATGTCTTCATACTCTTCAATAATTACCTGTCAAAAGTACTCACTTAACTTCATGAAAACTAGTAGTAAAAGAATTCTTTAATGAGTCGAAAAAAATGTTTCCACTATGGATTCTGAACCATTTTGTTACATATAATGTTCAAATCATCGTAAACTACAGCGAGATCTCAACAACATGGTTCCTATATGATCAGGAAATAAGATCTGAAAATATTTGTGAAATAGAAGATGCCATTCATGAACTTTGAACGTAAAAAAACCTACCGGATGGTATAACAGCTGGAACTTTATAGTTGAAGAACCACTTTCAATTTTCGTTCAGTGCCTGTGCAAATGCTTCAACGAATGCTTGAATAATAGTCAATTTATCGAAGATCGAAGAATCACTAAAATTATCAACTGAAACAAAATGAGAGGACAAGTGTCAAAGTACGAAACAAACTCAAACCCATTTCCTTCCTAGAAATATATTCTAGATTCTACGAGAAAGTCTTGTTGGAAAAAGTGAAAAAGCGGCTAAAATCTAATAGCATATTGCCTCTTAAACAAGTGAGTTTTCGTAAACGGAGTCGACTATCTCAGTAGTCCCAGAAACAGCATTTTTTCGCTTAAAACAATTTATATTGTCTAGAACTACTATTTATTGGTAGTAAAACATAGTTTCGAAGTAGAAAATAGCAAGGACTAAGATATCTTATTCATCTCTGACCTATAAGGCGAATAAAACAGAAGCATCAGTGATATATGTTGACGTGCTTCTCATTCATAGATCAATATAAAGTAAAGAAGGGCACCCACAAGACTGACGAAAACTGATTTTTTTGCGATGTCTTTAGTTTGTCTCTGCTATTCGTCTTTCTTTTTTTTTCGTGTCATACTTCAAATGTTCTACTACTTCATTTGTTTCATCTCTCGTTCTCTCTGGTTATCTTTCTCTGACTTTCTCTTTTTCTTCGTTCCTTGTCTATTGTTATTTCCTTTTTGTACTTGTTTTTTACCTGTTCTCTTCTTCTTGTCATCTCGCTGCTTTTCTCTTATTAATACTTACACTTATCATATTCATGCGTCATCAGATACTCTATCCGAACAAATATTCTATTACATTTATTTATAAGATGTAAAACAAATCTCTGACAACTCTCATATTTCTCATTAATATATCGGTTTCATATACATCAATCCGATGAAATATCTACCTGATAATTTTATTTATAGTGTCACATGGTTCATATACACAGCTAATCCATCTCATTACAAGAACGGACATCTGAAGCGTATGTAGACAATCATCAAGTGCAAATAAATGACTGGGTTAAGCAACAAGAAAATTTTCATTTAATGATTAGAAAGATGTTAGCTTGTCTTTAGCTTTATCAGTGTTCGATCTAGCTATGGTAACAGATTTTTGTCTACCTTACGAACGATACTGACCACTTCTCAAAGTGGAAAACAAGCTGCAAATTTGCGGTGAGATATTTTATTCAATAGCTTACCCAAATTTCAGGCCTTTCAGTGACTTTGGGTAGCCTTTATGTAATATAAACATCATCAAATGTTCAAAGATCAACCTATGATGCAGCAATGCGCAATTTCGGAACGATTGATTTGTATTGAGCGCGCTATCACTATTGGTATGTCCACCATGCTCGCTCTAATTTTTTTGCGCGTTTCATAAACCCTTTATATCGGGGTCGCGACGTGAAGCGTCGTCCGAAAAAATGCGAGTCATGCTCATCTATTGGTAACACATAGCTAGTCACTCCTTCATATCGGTATCTGTAGTTGCCGAACATACTACGTGTTACTGTGCCAATCTCATTCGGACCAGTTCTATAGAAATATATTGGACGCCATTTGAAATAGCGATGGAGAGGCACAATATCTGGTTGCTGATGAATGTACAGGTAGCCGGCAATCCCTCCCAAAGTCCAAGATCCGATGCTTGTGCCTGGCGTGTGCGTTCCGATTTCTTCCCAGTGAGTTGTGTAGAAATGAGCAGGCCATGGACCAAAGTAACAATGCAGAGTCATTGTTCCAGAAACGGGTGACTCGTGTATTTTGCAGGTAATGCCCTCGTAGAAGTAATCATCGATTTGAGCACTGATGTCCGTCATACCGACTTCATCGCTATTGGTTATGTAGAAAATACGATTACGATCGCTTATGAAACATTCTAGTCAGATATTAAGAGTGAGACTTTGGGAGAAGAACGATACATGCATAAGTGCATGACTACGAGTTATCAGAGAATGCTCTAGCAATGTAACAACACGAGTGCTCCTGAAATACCTATATCAATTACTTTGTTCATGCATTATAATTGATATAACTGGAAGAAAAGTAATTTTTATTACGAAATGTAATATTTTATTCAGGATTTTTCCATCGGAGAGACGATTTAACATGGCGACAGGGGACAGGACCGAGCTTACGCGAGGTATCACTTGCGTCTCCTCCGCCCGAGTCCCGCTCCTTATACAATACTGGCGAAATGAACAGAAATGTATTACTTTCATCTCTGCACTTCGATAAAACTTCATTTGTACTCACCATGAACTGTGCCAACAAACAACATAACAAAACTTACAAGAATTTGTGCCATCCTTAGCAATGTGTGAGCGTATGGATGCGGGTATGGGGGTGAAGATGTAGGTGGGTGTGGTTGTGGGTATATGTCTTCTTCTCACCCACATCAACACCGACATCCATTTTTTTAATTCATCCAAAATTGTTTGTTCTTTAATTCGCCAAGAATGCATCTTATAACAATCATAATCATGACGGATTATAAGTATGGGCATTTTTTTGTTGAATTAGTTGTGGTTTAACATGAACCTTTTCATTTTGATCATCACATTCTGACACTGCATAAGGTAATTCAAGTGTTAAACCATGATCCAAATTATGCTGTATGAGTGTTAGAGATATAAGATACTTTATACCGCACATCGATACTACTAATTCATCAATTAAGTCAGTTATAGTTTCTGATAGTTGTTTTATTAAATTAAATGCTTCGTCGAGTAAGTCTAAACACAAGAAAGCTGTCACAAGTAGTAATTTTACAATTGTTTTGTCATAATGTTCTCTAGAATCGATGTCCAAACTCGAACATATTTATTTAAACTATTCAATATATTCTTGACGATTATCCCATTGGTTAGTCATACGATATGATTGAAAGAGTTTGTGGTAAGCAAGAACAATTGTTGAAATAGCTACGTCAGTTTTAGTTAGGGAGTGGGTATGATGGATGGATGTGAATGTCAGAGCGTGCGTTTTTGATTAGATACTCACACCTACACTCACTCATCACACCCACACCCAAGAATGTTTATATTTGATAATCATTTTTGACAAGAACACAAACAAAAAATTCCTGTGAAATTCTTTTCGAACTGAAAAAATTCTTCTTTCAGTCAATATCACATTTGTCGAACACTAAATTGACATTTTCCTTCAATAATTTGTTAAATTATTCTTGAATAATAATTCAACATCGATCTATATATTACATCGAAAAAATAATACATCAGTGAACATATTTGCTGTGGATTATTAACCAGGCTGCATATAATATCGATGAATAACGAGCAGGATAAAATTTTTAAATTTGTAATACTTCGTCTGAGAACAGGTTAAAAAGAGCAACTCTCATTTAAATTATCTCAATTGTTTATTGACTTTTATTTGCTAAAAAATTATTCCAATTGCTTTACAGATTTATCAAACAATTCTTCATAATCAATGATCTTATATATATATATCAATCTTATTTATTAATGAGAAATTTGAAGTCTTATCATTTAATTTTTATACAAAAAAAAAAAACCTTTTGTTCTCTCGAAAGATATACATAAGAAGAATCTTAGATGAAGATATGTTGATCTATTTTTTAAAAATAATTTTTCGTTCTTAAATAAAATTTGTTTCTGTTTTAATAGAATAAAAAGTGACGAGGCTGAGAAAAAAAAAGAATTTTGTAGATTGTCTATTGTGTCTATTAAATGTTCGAAGTCATTATGAATAGATTTTTTTTGTTCTTTGTTGGAAATATGTTGATTGATGTCGATATGTACTTAAATAGTTTTTTTACTTCAATTGGTTAAGAATCTTTTTTCAATTGTTAAAAAATAAATTAAAGAAAAAGAAAAACGAAAAAGAAAAATATTTTTTTGTTTTGATGAAACAAACAAAACAATGATGATAAATTGATTCGTTTTTATTGTTGAAAAAAAGTTTCATGGTTTCATATTGTTCTCCATGGAATGATCGATCATTAACACAATGTTTAATCGAATGTTCAAATAATCGATCAAAATGTTTTCATCGTTTTGTTAATAAATCTCAATGGATTGATGGTCTTGATATTTGGTCTTCATCAAATATTATCAGAAATAATTCAATATATGAACATAATATTGATTTTCATCGAGATATCGGTCTTTATTTACCTCGATGTGGAAAAAATAATATTCAAGAAACATTTTTTGACAATGATTCTATTTATTCAAAAAAAATAACAAATAATTTTTTTCCTGAACGTCTTAAAAAATTATTTAATAAAGAAAAAGATCTATTAATAAATGATAAACATTCAAATATATCTTCATTTGATGAACAATTATCATCAATTGAAGATAAGCAGTTATCAAAATCTTTTCAACAATGTTAGTTAACAATATTTCAACTTCATTTTTAAAATAATTAATTAATTAATTTCTTTTCAGCAAAATCAACTAAAATAACATCAAGTCAAGTTCATTTCTCACTTCGTCAAATAAAAACTCAAAATAGTTCACGAGGAAAACAATCAAAACAAATTCACCAATCAATTTATCAGAAAAGTTTAAAATCAATATTAAAAGAACAATTAACAAGTTTATTTACTCGTGAAACAGCAAATATAAATCATAAACGAACCCTTTTAAAAATACCTTTAGCACAAATTCGACATCCAAATATACCCTCGAAAACGGGTCCAATAATAGATTCAAAGTTAATTATTGAACGATATGATAAATTACAACAATTGTTAATATCTCGAACAGTTAGTCAAGCTACGTTAAATAATAAATTAGCTAAGAATCATCAATCTCCATTAAGTTATCATGAAACGGCAAGTTTCGCTTTAAATGTAACACCAGTTGATTTTTCTTCTTCAAAAAATTTTGAAAGTTCTTCTTTCGAAACGAACTTTGATCAAGAAAATCCTGCATCCAAAAATCGTCGCTTAAGTAAAAGAGGTTATTGATTTATATATATATTATTTGTATTTTCAAAAAAAATTCTAACAAAAAACTTATTGTTTGTTTCTGATAGTTTCTCTTCGTTGTTCGATTAATAAAAATGAAGAAGAAGAACGAATATTATCAAAAGTTAATATTGGAAAAGAATTTTTATCATCATCAAGTGATATTGTATTTTTAAATAAAAATTCAATCAATGAACAAAGTCAAACAATAAAAAAATTCTATCATCATCGTCGTTCACCACCAAATATTATAATTCAACGATCAAAAAATTTTGAATTATTACCATCATTGGTTCCAGGAAAACGTCTTCATTTTTCCATTTCAAACCATCGGCATTAATTCAGTGTTTTCTATATTCAACAAAAAAACAAAACTCTTTATTGAATTTGTTTATCTGATTCGAATTTATTATTCATAATCAATAGAAATCGACTCTATATAAATTTAATCTAAATTCTAATTCAAATTTAAATTACCTTCTACTAGATTTGATCATACTCTTTTAGATTTAATTATTTTACTAGAAAAATCTCTCTTTCACATAATAATAAAGATGGCTACTATTTATTTAATTATTTCAATCTTAGCAGCACAATAAAATACTTCATAGAAAAAACAAAATTTTTTCAATCTATCGATCAATTTTTATCTGAAAAACATTCGGATGATTAGGTGATATTGAGACAAAAAAGTTGTTTTATTAATAAAATATACTTTTATTAAAACAATTTTGAATATTACCAACAAAAATATTTATTTCTATCTTTATACGAATTGAATTTCTTTGTTTGTTAATCATATTTTGTCGCTTCGAAATCATTTATCCTTTTTGTTTAATTTTTACTTCTAGGGTGTGGCTGTGGGTGCTAAACTTCTCATTTAAACACCCTAAAAGTAAAAACAAAACGAAAAGGATAAATGATTTCGAAGCGATAAAACATGATTAACAATCAAGGAAATTCAATTTATATAAAGATATAAATAAATATTTTTGTAGGTAATATTCAAAATTGTTTTAATAAAAGTATATTTTATTAATAAAACATTTTTTTTTGTCTCAATATCACCTAATCACCCGAATGTTTTTCGGATAAAAATTGATCGTTAGATTGAAAAAAATTTTGTTTTTTGGGTGTGGGTGACATGAATGCACACCCACACCCATCTCTATTACGGTTTAAGCAAATTCGCTGATTTTTTTTCCATGTTAGAAGCATGTTCAAGCTTGATATCTATAAAAATATGCCTAGAGAGACCCTTTGTTAAGTATCACCATTAGTCTCAACCCAAAAAAAATTCACTTTTTTACAGATAAAAAAAACAACGTACTTAACAAAAGGTCTCTCTAGGCAAGTCTTTATGGATACAAAGCTTGAAGATGCCTCTACCATTGATAAAAAAAAAGTTAGCCCGTTTGTTCGAGCTGTAATGGAGATATTCGTTTTTTTCAATAAAGTGACTTGTGCGACATCCTCTGTATTATTTTTTCCTATCTATGAAAAGGTAAAATTTTTTTGTTGAAGTCAAATGTGGCACTTACAAAAGGGTGTATAGGTCTAGATGCGGATGTACAGGAGAAACACACCCACACCTACACCGTGAGTCAGCGATCAGAGACCGAATCGAACCGACTTTTACGGGTTCAAGTTTGGTTCCGTTCGACTATACTTTAAAGAAGCCGGTTCGAGTTCAGCTCGATCCGTTGTTGGTCTCTGGTTTAGACCAAAAATGATTGTCAAGTTAATTTGATTTAATGGTAATACAGTCAGACATTTATGAGAATTTATGAGTAGTGCTTCAATTAACATAACGATAAGTTTCAAAACACTTGAAACATGATACAAAGCTAGGGGTCATAGTGTTATGTTCTACTTTTATTATACTTGTTTTAAGGGCAAATCATGGG